GTGTGTGTGTGTGTGTGTGTGTGTGTGTGTGTGTGTGTGTGTGTGTGTGTGTGTGTAAACTAATTCAAGGCTAAAAATGTGTTTTGCACTCAAGAGCACTTCAACCACCACATTCTTATCACACTTACATTTCTCCTCCATCTCGTCTGTGCTCAGCATGGTCTTCGGAGCCGCTGCTTCTTGCTTAGCTGGAGCCTGGGCCGTTGCTGCGCTTGGTGCTGCTGGTGCCGCCGGCGCCGCCGCTGGTGGTCGTGCACCAGCATTCCCTGCATTCCTGTTTGTCCCAGGGGGTTGCATTTGTTGTTGTTGGTAGTAAGGCATCAGGCCCTGTTGCATTGTTGGTCTGTGTCCTTGTTGCATCTGCATTTGCATCTGCTGCATCTGCTGCATCTGTAGTTGCATCTGCATTTGTTGTTGCGCCTGCATATTCATAGGCATTTGCCCTGGCATCATGGGCATTTGACCTGGCGCCATAGGCGGTTGCCCAGGTCCAGAGGGCATTTGAGAGTCACCATAGGGATTCTTGTTATACCCACCCCCCATGGGTGGTCCATTGTATCCCCCAGACATGCTCGGTTTATATAAAGGAGCACTGTTTATATGTGCTTCTATGTGTGGGATGCATGCATATGCGTGCGAAGACAACACTACTTGTGATCAAGCAATGATCGTACGTATGCTTGCCTGTTCTACTAATCGGATACACTATCTTTTGGCGTCCGATTGTGGTATGAAGTGATTTTGGCGCATACACTTCATCCTAAATACGCGTGTACTCCTCGATGTTGATTTGGTGTAGTTCGGGACTAGGCTCAATCCGTTAAAAAGGGATTCCCCGTTATACTCGTTCAATGGCTATATATATTCACTCTATTTTTGTACGTTTTGTCGCAAAACGTATTGACGTTAGGTTCGAGACGTTAGGGATTTCTGAGTTCTCATTTTCTTCACAACCCCTTCGAAAACTCGAAATATTTATGTAATTCGTATGCACTTATTATCTTATATGCGGAAATACGTAAAAGTAAAATAAAAGATATAAAAAGAAAAACTGTCATCAATGCTGGTCAGCTGGTGAGTGGTGACTGGGATGAGTGGTGAGTGGTGACGCCGTGACAGTAACAGTGACGTAACTCAAGTTTTTTACTTGTGCCTCTTCATCTTGTGTGTGTTGTGTGCTCTTCTTGAGGTTTTCTGTTCCAAGTTACGGACAACATATTTTGAATTTTATATATGTGTAGCATGTATGATGCGTTCCTTCAGTGTTTCGCACTTCTACGTTACATTTATAGCAATAAAAAATGCCACCCTTGACTACCCACGCTTTGAACACCTCCACTGGTATGTACTTGAGATAGACGGCCCAATGGCGACAAAAGTAATGTTTACTCACTTTGCCTGTCGTAGTCTAAGTAGAATTGTCTAGTCAATTTGGTTGCGCTGTTGTACAGTCCATTGGAAATTATGTGCTATGTTTATTTGTTACAGACGTTCATAGTGTCGCACGCTACCACTCTTTCAGAGCTATGGATTAGTCTCACAAGTCGTTTTTTGCTTAATACAAAATCGCCTTTCTTTTGCACCAACTCTGCATAGCAATAAGGGAATATATCAATTTTGAGATGTTTCTCATTCTAAATGTTAATCAACTAATCATTCGCACTGTTATTTGCCTGTTATTAGTATATATATATATATATATATATATATATATATATATATATATATATATATATATATATATATATATATATTATATATATATATATATATATATATATATATATATATATATATATATATATATATATATATATATATATATATATATATATATATATATATATA